CCCCCGGCCCCCTGTCCCTCCGAGCGCTTGGACAAGGCGAGAGCTTCGGAGAGGCATTGATATCTCTCGTTTTCGCTTTAGTTCTTGGCGCAGTTGACTTCTGGTTGATATTCTAGCATTGGCGGAAGTAATGAATTCGTCTATAGACAGTTCAGTTTAAGCTGGCTCGGGCACTGTCGGCTGTAGCTAAAATCGTGCAGCTACAAACAGGGACGTCCGCGGCCTCCACCCCTGTGTGATGCGCTGAATGGGTTGCCTGCCCTCCCGGCGCCGCGACAGGTGGCCTTGCCGTGGAACTTCTCCGTCGTAGCGAGCCTGGCCTCGGACCTGGCGTCCGCCACGTACAACCCGCAGCTGGTGCCCACCATGACGGAGCTGGGCCTGTGCTTCTCCTTCAACTCGCTGCTGGCGTACTACGTGTCGCCGCGGTATGTCTCTCATCGTCTCGTCTGGAGGGTCATGCCCGCGATCCGCCTCTGCCGCACAGACGCGTGTCCTCTAATTTATCCATCTCTGTGATGACGCTGGTGGGCGCTCTCGGCCTGCCGCAGGTACTGGCGGCTCGGCGAGCGGACGCTTGACAACAGACGCGGCCTGCTGGAGGTGAACGTCATGGACGGCTCGATCTTCGCTCAGCTGTCCGGGCTGCCCAGCGGCTACCAGGTGCGGGGTGCGGGTCTGCTCTGCTGCCCGAGCGACCCCCGCTGGCCCGCCTCCGCTGACGCTCACGCTGGCCGTGCTCTCGCAGCTGTTCGTGCACGGCCCCAGCGAGGTGCCGGACCTGCAGTCGCAGTCCCTGGTGGCGACAGAGGGCCGCTTCAAGAGCGTGCTGGTGACGGCGCTGGCCATCCACACGAGCGAAGGGGTCCGGCGGCTGTCGCCCGAGCAGCGCCGCTGCCGCTTCACCGACGAGCCCAAGGAGGGCACGCCGCACCTCAACGTGCCCGTGTACTCGTACAACCTGTGCCGGCGGGCGTGCCGGGCGCGCCTCGCGCTCGACCTGTGCGGCTGCGTGCCCCACTTGTACGGGCCCATGGGTGAGCGCATCACATCACGATCTCGACCAGGCGCACAGCCTCGTCCTCCTCCTCGTCCTCCTGATCCTCGGGGGCGTCGTCCTCGTTCGGGGGCCAGTTTTCGGGGTAGGCTGGGAAGGTCTTGAACAGGAAGCGCACACAGCCCTGCCTGGCGCCGTCCGCTTGGCTGAACACGGCCTCGGCCCTCCACGTGCCGTAGTAGAACTGCGGCATGGACACGAACTGCCAGTCGGCGGCGAGGTCCCGGAAGGAATACACCCCCTGGAAGTTTGTTTAGAGCGGTCGTTATGGGGCAGAAAAGGAAAGGGCGACGCGGTAATGTACATAATTTGGGTCGCGATTCCGGTGACCTCACACTGACCTCTCTGGCGGGACAGGAGGTCCCGAGCAGTCCGAGGCCACGCAGTGCCGAGCACAGGGCGGGCAGCCGCATGATGAAGGCGTTGCGCTTCCACTCGTTGTTGCTCCACTTGTCGATGGTCAGCAGCGTCTGGGCGGGTCAAGGGTCGCGTCAGTGACGTCCTTTATGGTACATAGCAATGAACCTTCAAGTGGCGTCTCACCGAGCTCGAGTCGTCCAGCGGCAGGCTCAGGGTGAGGTTGCCGCAGAGGCGTTGGGGCGGCGCGCGCGGCCCCCACTGGCGGGACACGCGGGTCACGTTCACGACGACGGCCTCCTCGGCGAGCTGCTGCTGCCACCCTGGTGCAGCCCCCTGGCCGTGCCGCGCCGGGCACGCCTCGAAGCGCTCCACCACCGTGCGGAAGGGGCCCTATGAGCAATAGCCGGAGTAGGGATGAGGGAGGGGGACCTGACCACCACCACCGTACCTCCAACAGGGTATGTCTTACCGCCACGTCAGACAGCTTCCTGCCGACGTAGCGCGTGGGCTGCGCCCGTGCCCGCCCTAGGCCGGCGAGGAGGAGCGCACACCAGCCACCCCACAGCAGGAGCTGCATCACCGCACGGAACTGGAACCGGAAGTGGAAACAACCATCTTATTCATATTATATTACATTTCCAGTTGACGCGGCAGGCGCCCGCCTACCGACGTGCAACGTGGAAGGCATCGGGTGCATTCTGGGATACCTCAGTGGGTATTTGTTTTAGGGGCGTCCAGAAAGTATTCCCGTCACTGACAAGTTTAGCCTATGCAAGCTCTCTTAGCGCCTGATAGGTAGGCAACATATTGCCTGCAGTGCACGCGTCACGCGTGTACAGCGTAGTGGTGTACCCCGAACCTTGCAGGCGTTGAGCCCCTGGTGCTTGCTGAATGAAACTGACAAAATCCTGACGTACTTTCTGGACGACTCCCCCGGCTGCGTGAAAAGTAGTACTGAAGATTCTAAAATATATTGGATTTTTTTTTCAGACTTCATAGCTTCTTTGACAAAACCAACAAGAGGCGAAAAGATAGAGTGTAACTGTTTGGCCAACTGCAATCAAGTGAGCTTCGTTGTGGACAGTGACACCAATCAGCCATGGTAATCGCGAGTGTCTTGCGTTGGCATTTTCCAGGATTATCTCGCTGAGCATTTTCTAATAAAAAGGGAAGAAACTAAAGACATTCTTTAAAAATAATCTAATTGCTCTATCAACGGCAGGTTTTTGGGAACGGATCTCAAGTGGGGCTTAAGCAGACATCCACGCATGAGGCTGAAGAGAGATTTGATTTTTGGCGTGACTGACCTCCTTGGTAGGAACTATTATTATAAGAAACAGCAATTCGAACAATATATCTGATAACAATATATTTTAAAGCCACTATTTTTTTTAGTGCACGTTGGCAGCACTGCCGGACTCTTTCTGGGCTGCTCAGTGCTGAGCGTCATCGAGCTCCTCTACTTCCTGACGCTTAGGTTGTACTGGTACACGAGGACACCCACGTTCTCAGGAGCCAGGACCGCCGACCGCTCTGTGGGGCTGCTCATGCTCTTGCGGAAACCATGAGGGACCTCCGGAAATAATTCGCAGTTTGAAGGAGAAGGGTTCTGGAACGCACGCCTCGAACCCCAAGAGCAAATAAGAGACTTTATAGTTAAGTTCAAAACCCACTCAGTCCTCACCCGTTCAGACCTCCCGCCGCGCCCACGAGACTGAGAGCCTCCTGTTGTGGCTAGGAATAAGATTCGAATAATGGCGCCCCTAGTCAGCTGGACAAGCGAACATCGCCAATCTGTCGGGCAGAGACGCGATCGGAACTGCAGTCCAGCTGACTAAGGGATTCACCCCAGCCGCCCGGACGGAAGGGCAGCGGCCTGGCCGGGGGCAGGGGATGCCAGGCGCATCAGTCGCCCCGTAGAGCTGGAAGTTGGAGGTTCGTGTGTGTTACTAGCGACTCGATAATACACGTGTTTAGACCATACTCCCAGTCAGCCATTATTCCCTGACAAACCCGTAAAACCCACTATCACAACACTCCCCGCGCGGTGCCCGTGGCGCAAGGCGCAGGGCCGCGGACCTCGGCGCACAGTGGTTGGAGACGGGTCGGAGGGTGGCAGGAAGGTCGGGCGCGCCCGCGGGTCGCGGGCTGCGTGCGCGCATCAGATAGCGGGGCAGCAGAACGGCGGCGTGTCGGCCGCCGGATAACCATCCTCTTTTGCATTTTTTAACGGCACTCGACAGCGGCAGTGGCGGAGGTGCGCGGAGGCTGCCCGGGGGGCTGCAGCTGCAGCACCCCTCTGCCGCCGCCCCTGGCGCCGATACGCCACCAGTCGCGGCCAGCCTCCTCGCCAGAGACTGACTGGAAGCTGACTGGAGGTCCGGGTGAGTTCTGGAGGATTCCAGAGTCGCGGTCCACGGCTCGCAGGCACAGGTCGCAGGTCGCCTACGCCCCTGGCGCTCCGTCCCGCCGCACGCCAGCCAAGGGCGCGTGCCGACCCCTACACAGGCTGCAGGGGCGGCGCTGCTCTTCAGCCGGCCATCGAATCGCTCGAATGTACGGCGCAGTGCGCGACAGGCAACACATCCCCGGGAGCAGGCTCGGCGCCGCACGAGATCGACGCCAGGATGATCCTGGGCAGCATGTTCCCCGCGCGGCTGGACGCCGTCAACCCCGTGCTGCGGCAGCCGGCCCCGCCGGAAGGGCTCACCCCGCTGGACGGCCAGGGCCTCGCGGGCGTGGGCTCGGGCATCTCGCACCGCACCAGGGCCGTCCTGTCCAGCAACGGCATGCCCCGGATAGGGGTGTCCCCGCCGGGCTCCGGGTCCCAGACGAAGACGCCCTTGTTCCGGGAGGGTACGTCCACTGCAACCACGAGTGCTGCTGCTGCGACCCAGAGCAACCCAGTGCATTTCGAGTTCTCATCCCTCTATTACAGGCTCGAGCATGTACTCGGACGCGGACGATGGCCAAAGGAAGAAGAAGAAGAGATGCCTCACGTTCAAGTCGGTCTTCAACTTCTTGTACCTGGTGATGAAGACTTCGTCCATACATGGATTTAATCATATGACCGACGAGAAGAGACACATCCTCGAACGGTGAGATATTTCTGTCCCCATGTGGCCACCCACTGCTCACGTCGTGCACGTGGCGACGTGATTCCTCGTCGACTATACATTGGTGCTACGGGCGAACGCGTTAGCTAATTTTTAGCACTATTTCGTTGAGTTTTTAGTTGTTTTATGATGCTGAAAAAGTACCCCTATGGATTTTCTCAAACTTTCTCAGAGAGAAATGACATGTCGAAACGATATCGAAAAAAGGGTCGAAACTATGTCGACACGACATCGAAAGAGGCGTCAAAACTATGTCATTTTAATGTCGTTTTGAAGGCCATTTCTAATTGGGTTTGGTAGTTGCCGTTAAAATGAGCCGCAGGAGCTAAACGTGCCATCTCAAAGAGTACATATTAGTTAGCTATGGTTTTTGGACGGAGTGACAGCACCCTTAATGTGATCCCGCAGGATGGTCTGGTTTGTCTTCCTCGTACTGGGATGCTGGGGTGCCGTGGAGGTGTCGCGATCCACGTGGAAGCACTACCAGGAGAATCCCACTGTCATCTCAATGGAGCGGGACTACAAGGAGTGGAACACCTCCTTCCCGTCTGTCACCATCTGCCCCACCGTCAAGTACGACGAGGCTGCGGTGGAGGCCAAGGCCGAAGAGTAAGTGATCCGGACTTACAAAGAAGTCAAAATTCCCCACTCACTATAGACGACACCCCATAAAACACCATTGTTTTCTCTTTTTTGTGACCTACAAGGTCACGTTCTTCGCACCTAAGAAGTCACTTTGGGACATCAAAAAAACGTCTCGGTGTTGTCATTGTGTCCAGTGACCATACCGTGGCGATTTCGTGACAAAATTATTTTTTTCTTAGGCAGAAGTGTTGATTGGTGACAGAGTGACTTGTTGTTGCACCCGACCCAGGATGACCCACATCCAGGACAAGGAGAGACTCAAGCTCTTCCTCATGAAGCTGGCCAACGCGACCTACGACACCTTCGGGGACGTTCCTAACGACTTCTCCGACGAGATCAAGCCGAGCGAGTACATGGACCTCGTGCTGGCCGTGAAGCTGGACTTCTCCTACACGGTGAGCGGCAGCAATACGGAGGCCAACACCGTCGGCGCGCTGCAGACCACTATCACCGAGCACGGACTGTGCTACGCCTTCAACTCGGACATTGCCGTGTACAACTCACCCGAGTAAGTGCCTCGCCCTAGCTCCAATAGACACCTGTGTCTGTGATCTTGAGTATTTCCAATCCATCCGTGCTGTCACCACCAGTTGACTGTAGTGTGCCATGGTCCGCAGGTACTTTAAGTCCAAAAACAACTCGCTGGTGCAGAGGGCCTGGTCCTTCTACGGCAGTCCCCTGGATGGTGACGTCTTCGCACAGGTCATGGACATGAACTCGGGTTATCTGGTGAGCTTTCGCTACCGCTAGGCGATCATCCAAAAAGTACGTAAGCCATACGAAAGTGGCAAGTTCAGCCTACGCAGGCTCTCATAACGCCTGGCAGGTAGGCAAGATGTCGCCTGCAGTGCATGCGTGCATCGCGGGGTGGCCTATCCTGGCGCTCGCAGGCGCCGAGCTCCCGTCATTTGCCGATTAAATCTCAGAAAAACGGACTTACTTTTTGGCCGAGTATGCAGTAAGATCGGAGGGCGCAGCTAATAGCTCTCGACCGTCTCGACGCTTATCGGTCGGAGTTGCTAGCTGACGGGTTTGACGGCTACGGTCCTCTCGATCCATGTTCGCGTTCGCACAGGTGTACCTCCACAGCTCCAACGAGACGGCCGACTTCGCCTCGCAGCGGCTCGAGTCGCCCTCGGGCTCCTACAAGACGCTGGACATCTCCGCCCTCAGCATCTACACGTCCGAGGACGCGGCGAGCCTGGACGTGCCGCAGCGCCGCTGCCGCTTCCTCGTCGAGCCCAAGAGCCCCCTCATCCTCAGCCCCGTCTACTCGTACAACCTGTGCCGCAACGAGTGCCGCATGAAGCTGGCGCACCGGCGCTGCGGGTGCGTGCCGCACTTCTACCGGCCCGTGCGTGAGTATGCAGGCAGGGCGGGCGCGGGAGCACACACACACACGCATTGTCTGGAAATAAATCATTAAAACGACATGAAATGCAATTGACGCTACTTTTCGTCTCCAGACAAGTACCGCATATGTGACGTGAAGGGGATGCACTGCTTGGCCAAAGAGACGGGTAAGCTCTATTATTTTGCCCCTGCGCTCCCTTTTCGTGGGTTTGAATTTCAAAGGCCGCTCTCCTCGCAGACCTCATGTCGACGCTGAGGGACCCGGTGACGAAGAAGAAGGTAAAGTGCAACTGCCTGCCTCCGTGCGACGACGTCAACTACATCATTGAGAACGACCACACAATGCCCTGGTGAGTGGGGCGGGTCGCCCAAGTCCGTTGCACCCCCTCCAGCGGCCGATGCACATACACGAGGCAGCGTATGCCCACAATGACGCCTGCTTTGTCGCAGGTTCCTCGGCACCAACCTCAAGTGGGGCATGACCAAATACCCGCGCATGAGGCTCAAACGCGACGTCATCTTCGGCTTCATCGACGTCCTCGGTGAGTCGACGACGCGGCGCCGCGTGAGTCAGCAAGTGCTCCGGGTGTTGTTGGCGCAGCGCGGGCACCGTGACTCTCAGAGGGCGGCGCTGCGGCGCCCCCCCCGGCCCATCTCTCATGCTCTCTTGGTGTGATTCCCCGCCACAGTGTCTGTCGGCGGCACGGCCGGACTCTTCCTCGGGTGCTCCGTGCTCAGCCTCATCGAGATCGTCTACTTCTTCACGCTCAAGGCCTTCTTCTACGTCCTGGAGCACCGCAACGACGACGAGGACGACGAGGACGAGGAGGGCCTGCAGGGCGGCGAGCAGCGGCCCGACTCGGGCAGCAGCGGCGACCCCGCCGCCACGCGCATCATGTTCGCGCCGCGCTCCTTCGCGCCCTCGCTGCGCTGATGGGAGGGCGGCCCCGGGCTGGGCGGGGGAGAGGGAGAGGGAGGGCAGGGCCGGCAGAGGGACACAATAATTACAAATAAAGCGTTTTGCACAGCCGGATTACTGCTCATTGAACAACCCCATTCCCTGCGCGCACATGTCTCGACTCACCGCGCCTCCTGCGGCGATCCGCCCCGCGCGACACCTTCGGCGGCCGCCCCTGGCCCCGCGGGTTACCCCCGGCTCTGCCTACTACCTGTCCGCCCGCGGCCGACCCGCCCTGCTGTCGTGTCGCCGTGCATGCATTAGACGGAGGGCTGTCCTGTCGATGCGCCGGCGATAGCGCTCCGTGATCAATGCTCAGGCCACGCCACGGCGAGGGCGGCCCGGCAGACCCCCCGGACCCGCAGTGCGCGGCGCTCCTCCACTGGCACCACCTCCACCGCCACCGGGACCGCCGCCACCGGCCGTCGCCATGGTCCGGGCCGCCCCCCGGCTGCCGCGGCTGCGCTGCTCCTCGCGGATGCTCCTCGCGGGCATCAAGGAGTACCTCCAGGAGAGCTCCCTGCACGGGTTGCGGTACCTCGCCGACCCCGGGCGCCACTGGTCCGAAAGGTGAGCCGCCGACGAGATAGTCGCGTCCTCTAGTGTTTTGCTATCCTACCAGATATTTTTTTGGACAGTTTCTGCTGGCTGTCTCTACCCCAATGAGGAAGTTTTCCGTTTTGACAATAATCTCGGTCCGATACAATAGAGGTTCTTTGTGCCAGAATTATTTGTGTGTCCCATTTGGGACTATCTCTTTACCAGTCGCCCATTTTTTTAATGCACGGAAAAATACAACATTGTATGAAATGCCAAAAATCTGTGTCTGTGTCGCTTGAGCGGTTTTTTTTTACGGTGGCATTTTCGAGCCCAGGTTGTTCTGGGCCGCCGTTTGCGTGGCGTCGCTCATCGGCACGTACTTCCTGCTCATGTCCTCGTGGAACGCCTTCCAGTACCACGCCGTCTCCTTCGTCAGCGAGACCGCCTACCTGGACTGGAACACCACCTTCCCCGCCGTGTCCGTGTGCGAGACCGAGAGTCCGGACAAGCTGTACGAGAGCGCCACCAAGTGAGTAGCGCGGGGTTGCCTCCAGCAGCGGTGCGTGCCGGATGGACAAAGCTGCCCACACTGTAAACCTGGGGTGTCCAGCAGCTGTGCGACTAAACTCGTACAACCCAGGTTTCTGTGCGACTTGAGTTGCCGTTTTCCCTCCAGTGGGGCCCGGGCAAGGGGTGTCGTGTCGAATGAGGGGGCACCCCCGACCTTCACTGGGTGTGGACTGGACTTCTCTGCAGAGGAACAGGGTGCCAAAACTTAGGGTGTCCTTCAAAAGTCACACTCTCGCACGGTGCAGGGTGTTCGGCGTGACGCGGAACCGGAACCTGGACTTTTTCCTGAGGGACATCGTCTTCTTCGACGGGACGTGTCGCTCGTGCAGCACACAGTGTGGCCCGGTCATGAACTGCACGGACGACTTCCTCAGCATCATCGAGAGGGTCGGTGTCGGTATGATGAGCGCATGATGAGTGTGTCATCCCCCAAACTTTTCAACAAACCTTGTCCACCCCACTGCACCAGGTGCGCTCCAACTGCACTTCTTTAATCAACAACTGCAGGTGGAATGGGGAGCTTTTCGACTGCTGCAAGAACTTCCTGCCCTTACAGACGGAGACTGGCCTCTGCTACACCATCAACTCGTTGCACAACCGCTACTTCCCGTAAGATCGCACTCGTCTGAGGAGCACATTAATTGTCAAGTATAAAGGGATTGCATGGATTTTGTATAAATTGTATACAATATAACGCCTTCCCCCTTCGTTACAGTAATGGGTCACGCGTTAACAACCAACTGGTGGATTTGATCTCGAACCGGAGGACGGGCCCCGGCACGCTCGATTTCATGGCAAAGGAGTCCATCAAGGTGAATAGAGACCGAGATCGACTGGTCGGCCCCTTGCGGCTGTAGACTTGTGTGACTCTCCAAGTGCCCCCACAATGAACACACCCCGCTGGGCGCCGCCTGCGGCTTCCTGGCCGAGCCCCTGCAGGGCGCTCTGGGCGGGCCGCCGTTTTCACGCATCTGCTTGGCGGGCCGGCCTACCCGGCGCGTCGCGGGCGCTCTCACTAGAGAGTCGGAGAGTGAAACGTTCATTGTGGGGGCATCGTCACACCGTCACTGACACTGACGCCGGCAATTTTGACCAGATCTTCATCCATGCGCCAGAGGATGTGCCCAACTTCAATCACCCTCAGGATGAGAAGGAGTCGCTCTTCTGGGGCCTCAACTTCCACATGCGCTTTGCGGTAGGAGGTTTAGTTGCTATACACTGTAATGAATAACATCACAGAACGCGTTGGGAATCGCTTTTCATCTACGCCACCAGGTGACGGAAATCGAAAATGACCCCCAACTACTCGATGTGTCGGTGGCGCAGCGGAACTGCCGTTTCCCTCACGAGAGCCCCCTGACCCTACACGACAAGTACTCGTACTCGACGTGCATCGTGGAGTGCCACGCCAGGTACCAGATGCAGTTCTGCAACTGTACGCATCACTACATGCCCAACATGCGTAAGTAGCGTTGTCTCGCGGAGCGCTCGATGCGACGACGTAAGTGTTAACAACTACACGCGGAAAGCTAACTTAGTACTTCCGTCCGTCTCAAAGACAACCTGACAACGAAAACTTGCGGCGTGGAGGGGCTGGCCTGCCTCAACCTGCACTCGGGTAAGCCAACACCAGCGGCGAGCGACAGGAAGCGACAGGGTCTGCTGGGTCTGACAGGTAGCTCTAAACGATGTTCTCTTACCCGCACCACAGAGACCCTGCGCAGCCTGAAGACGTCGTGGAGCACCAAGCCCGGCCTAGCGTGCGACTGCGTGTCGAGCTGCACGGAGCCGGAGTACAGCGTGGTGTGGAAGTCGAGCCAGGGGTGAGTGTGGGTGCGGGCCGGGCGGGCCGAGCCAAAGGGGATCAAGGGTGCATTTATTTTTGAACTTCGATCGTCTTAAAACTTGGTAATCTGAGAAATTGCGATGAATTCAAACCACAAAATTTTACTTCAGTGTATGGATTATTTATTTTTTGAGAATGGTCCTCCTTGCACCGAATACGGCCGTGCGTCGCTTGCTCCGCACCCTGACCTCTGACCTGACACTCGACCTGGTCCTCGACAGGAACGACGCGGAAGGAGACGCCGAACACGATCAGGGCACCAAGGTGCGCCTCATGCTGGACTCGCTGCCCACCACCAGGTTCCGGAGGAACGTCGTCCGGACCAGGCTCGACCTCGTGGGTGAGTAGTACGGTGGGCGCGGGCGGAGCCTCCGGGTCCACGAACACTCTCCTCGGCATTCGTGTTGCAGTGTCCATGGGCGGCACTGCGGGGCTGTTCCTGGGTGCCTCGCTGCTCACCCTGGTGGAGCTGGTGTACTACGCGTGCCGCACGCCCTCCTTCAAGCTGCTCGAGTCGCAGCAGGGGCGCCAGAGCTCCAGCCAGTCCAAGAAGAGCACGCCGCCCCCGCCCGCGCTCCCAGCGCCACCCTCCGGAGGCAACAACCCCACGGGCCCCGCGGCCGCGGGCGCGTGGCGGCGCCTGCGGCACGACTACGGCGGCTCCCCGATGGTGCGCCGGGTGCAGCCCGCCCTGCCCGCCGGACCCGTGGCCACCCTCGAGGACGGCGCCGGCTACCACAAGCTGGCGAGCGGCAATGCAAAGGTTGAGCGCTCTGCTTACAAAAAGAACCTCAGGCAGTACAGCGACGCGTTTGACCTGTACATGTGAAGGGGGCATGGGGACCAAGAGTGAAATACAGCCGTCCACTAGAATGTACAAAGGACATTTATTATCAATACCATCTGAACGAATGAATATTTGATATTGAGCCCAACCTATTATCACTCATGATTAGTGATATACTGGATTAATGCCCAAGAGGTGGTTAAATATAAATAGACATATACAAACAGTTAAAGCTTTAACTCACTGTAAATTGGTTTAGACTTACGATTCATTAATATCACATCAACATCTGTTGCAAAAATAACAATAAAACCAATCAGAAATACAATAATATCACGTAATACTAAAATAGTAAAATTTAAGTAAGTGCACTATCTGAAGGTCATGGATTCCTAAAATATTATTTTAATCAATATTTTGGAACGATCTCAATTACAAATGGGATACAAGTCAGTAATTCCAAATAAAAATACAAATCACTTGTACTGTTATATTGAAATAATCTTCAAATTTTCACAAAATTCATAGAATTTTTTGGTTGTTCATGACCAAACTCCATACAAGTGCAGCTTGTGGAATTCATAAGAATATAAAAAAACAAGGGACATGTTTACACTTGCACGGGTTTTCACTCAATACAAACAGATGAAGAAACTAAGCAAGTGAAGCCTTTCCTCACAGTTTTTGTAACACAGCATAATGCATATCATCATATTACCGTATTTAGCTGAGTATAACACCTTTATTCCCCACAAAAAATTTGGTTAAAAAGTAGAGATGGGAGAGGGGCGAGAGGGGCGAGAGGGGAGGGGGTGTCTTATATGTGTGGGGTGTCACCAAGCATTCATACCACTAACAATCCTTTAGAAGTGTATGGGGAGACTCTGAGAACTTCTCCCAATAAAATTGGGCCATCCAAAGGGTGGGGTCTTATACTCAGGTGAATACTGTACCTTACAATTTAAACTTCGTGTGAAAATTTTTTATGATTAGGAACATTTTCCATTCACCCAAGCCTTTTCAAAATAAAATGCTGACTTTACAAAATAGATATTTTCTTTTGGAAATGAAAAGATTGAACTAGCTTAAATTGAAGAAAGAGTTGATTAGATTACCTACTGAGCACAGAAAATTTGAAAAGTTACACACAGTTTTGATTACATAGATGGATATTTTTAAAATCGATGAAAAGTTTCTACAAAACTAATGTTACAGGAAGAAGAGAAAGACCAGCTGTTCTCTACATAAGAATAAAACCCTGAAAATATATCCTAGAATACGTATTTCTACACTAAGAAAGCTTGTCAAAGCAACAAAACTATGTATATCAAACTATGGATACAGAGTTTTGTCGCCTCAACATAAATCCTAGTGCTCTAAAGTCTCTCATGATTGAGATACATCAGTACATCACATTCAAGTTCCCAGAAAAACACTGTTCCAGATAAAACACAAACATTTCTACCCTGTTGATGATCAGAATGCATATCACTACGATCAATTAGGAGCTAAAATTCCTTTCTCATTTAGGAAGTACTGTGAGTCTATAACAGGCAAAAAATAGTATCAAACATTTTAACCTATGTGGAAAAATTGGAGCTAATGAAGCAGAAGTCTACTAAAATTTGTCAAATCATCCAATTGCGCAGAATATTGTTGCAATTGCACGTGGCAATAATTCATCAAGATAATGAAAGTTTGGAACGTCAAAGAATTTATTGGTTGTCAGAACCGAGCTTTTTCATTGTCAGAAAAGCAAAGTGTATTGAGAGAGCATACTAACACCGACTAGGTTTGGTAATTGTTATTCATATCCAACTGCTTTTTGGCATTATGAAAACACTTTCCTTCCACCTTTCTAGAAAACAAACAAAAAAGCAAGAAAACAGTATACCAATAAAAGGCACTTGTGGACCAATATTTGCACAAAAAATAAAAAAGCAAGTAGAAAATGTACACAGTTCATAGATAGTCTAATATTTACATGGAGTCAACACACTCCAAATGCCAAAATTTTACCTAATTAGTAAAAGATCACAAAAATCTCCAAATTGATAGAATAGGAAATATTAAACATACAATGGCAAATATGATAGAACATATTTTAGATTGATTTGAAGAGTTTTAAGAAACATTACTCTTGTTCTTGTAGGACTGGCAAGGTAATTAAAAGCTTGCGTGTGGCACAGCACATGATTATTTTGACAATATATAACATAAAACGATGTCTAGTTACAAGTCGTTGACAGTAATCTTTCCTCTTCATCCTCTAGTTCTTTACATACCTCCTGTAATAAAAAATAAGACAATTAAGAATTAACAAAAAATTGAATCTTAATTTGTAGGAACAACCTATCAAGCTACTTTACAGCAACTGACCTGGAGGCGTTGTTGGGCTACAGGTATATCTGCAAGCTGAGCCTCTAAATGAGCCTTCTCTTGTCGAAGAGTCATGGCAGTCTTTGCGTCAAGAGGAGATAGATTCCATCCACCTTCGCCATCAAACTGCAGAATATGACTGTGAAATTTCCTGTGAGACATGAAAAATTACAAGGGTAAGAAAAATGAAGGCACTAACAAAACTAAACATCAGTTAAGAGACAATAATATAATAATCCATACCACAGAGACGGACGATGGGTAATAGTGAGCAGGGTAACTCCAGCATCCTTTGCTGCTTGATAGATGTTACTTTCAACATCAATGCTAACAGCACTTGTGCATTCATCCAGCAAAGCAAACTTGGGCCTAAAATATTCATATAATTTTGTTTAAAAAAGATCAAAGAGCAGGGTAACATTTTGCTAAACTATGTACAGTAATGTCCCTCTCGAAGCTGGCTCGCTCGAAGCTGAAATTTTGAGGCGGACCCTGCTTAAGGATGGGGGTTTACAACCTGGCGAGCTCGGGCGACAAAGCATTTACAACCGCCTGATGCCCGAGTCC